ACGACTGCCTTGCCCTCTCACGTATCAAGTGTACCATCCCAGTTTGTTGCCATCCACAAACTTGGTGAAGACACACTGATTTTCTCCTATAACTCACTGATAAAAATATTAAAACGACTGATACCAACACAGACCCATATCGTACTCGTAACTGGTCTCCAGGGAAGGAGACGGTTGATCACTGCCCTCTAAGACCAATGACCCAGCCAGTTTTTCTCTCATCTGGCAAGCCACCTAGGCAAACTGTAATAACTCAGCTCAGATACCAGGGTGGAGTGAAAGTCTGTTGCTCAAATCGTCTACTAGTACTACATGGAGGACAAGATCTGCTGCTCTTCACCTACAGATCTATTATTCCCTTTGCTGAAGATGGCTTTTCTGCAGTGTTACAGCTATCGCCACGTGTGTTCCAGAATCACATCCAAGAGACCAAAGGCTTGCCTCCTTGGAGGCTGAGCAAGAAGGGCAATTAAATGTCTCTCTGTTGTGGTTAACACAGTCACGTGAACGGGTCAAAAATCATGAGTCAAATTCCTCCAGAATGAAGACAGTGGTCCAGACATTAATGACACTATTACTTGGCCAGATTTGGCCTTAGACTTTGGAATCTCCCTTGCCCATCCCCAAGCCAGTAGTGCAACAATTAACATTCCATGCAACCCCAGAGACAGTGAGGCTGGCCACTCACTTTCCACTTTATCCAGAATCATTCTTTGTGTCTTGCCTCCAAGTCCATTTATTAAGTCCTGTCTTCCTGCAGCTCCAGAAATTTTTTTCTCCACCAAGAGAGATCAAGAGAGGAAACATCCTCCCTGTTCACTAGAGAAGGATGAAGGAAGAGGAAATGATGGAAGATACAGAACTGTTTTGATCCACAAAGCTTGTATCTCTCGAGAGAGCAGTATTACCTCCCAAAGAAAACAGGTGGGTAGAAAAGGGAGGAGCAGTCGCTCCCCCTGGCTCTTCCCACAGCTCTTGGGCCCAGAAGGCAGGCTAGTACACAGGCTTCGGTGGGAGCAGCTCCCTCCTTTGCCTGGCTGGAATCCCAGACAGCTCCAGGAAGAAAGTGAGAATGATCTGGAATGCATCCAGTATTCAGCTGCATAGGTGGCAAGACTTGAAATCAAGCCAGGTGCTGGCATAAGCACAGCAGGCCTAAGCCTGGTAGACTAAAGGCTTTTCTGCAAAAAACAAAGATGCAGGAAGACCGGCTTGACTGCTCTCTGCTGCCTTTCCCCCCCACTTGGTCTTGTGGCTCACTGAAACCAGAGCAAAAATGATTTTTTTTTCCCTCCAGTCCTAACTAAACTTGCAGTTTTTGAAACCGAGACCTGAAATTGGCCTATAGCACAGGGATTTCAGTGTTTAGGGAAACAGTGCTCTGCCTACCTTTGTCAAAAATGCATGGCTTTGTCCCAAATGAACCAAGCATGTGTTGAGCATGCGTTGTGTGAGCAACGCCTGAGGGATCTGGGTTTGTTTAGCCTGGAGAAGACTGAAGGAAAACCTTCTTGCTCTCTACGACTACCTGAAAAGAGGTTGTAGTGAGGCCGGAGTTGGTCTGTTCTTCCTAGTGGTGAGTGACAGGACAAGGGGAAATGGTCTTAAGTTGTGCCAGGGGAGGTTCAGGTTGGACATTAGGAAGAATTTCTTTACTGAAAGGGTTGTCAGCCATTGGAACAGGCTGCCCAGGGAGGTGGTTGAGTCACCATCCCTGGAGGTGTTTAAGAGACGGGTAGATGTTCTACTGAGGGACATGGTTTAGTGGTGTTGACAGCATCAGGACAAAGGCTAGACTTGATGATCTTGAAGGTCTCTTCCAACAGAAACTGTTCTATGATTCTATGAATACCTGAATGGAATACCTGGTATCATATTAATTTTTTCTTCCTAGTGGGAACAGTTTCCAGAGCTCTGAATATTTTTCAGGTACTTGGCTCAAATGGGCAATCATACTCACACGAGCTGCTCACCTGAGAAATTTTTGTTCCCAGCATCCCACCATTGTATGAGAAGTTAAAATCCTTCTGCTCTGCTGATGTACAAAGGAAAGCTGCCTTTCATTCTGTCAGAACGATCCACTTAGAAAGCAAACACCAAACCTGAAACTACCAAACCAAAACTGACAGTTATCAGTGCTAAGGAGGAGGCATTTCCGTCTTAACAGTTAAGAGATGTGATAAGCACACCCTTCCCCCTCCCACTGTGCATTTGCTGAACTGAAGCCACTGGCTACCGGAGCTGGTCTGTTAGCAACAGATCTGGTTTGTTATTTTCCACCGTTTGTCCACCCTTTCCCACAAATCCCATTTACAGCTGAAACTTGAGATCAAGCGAATTGACATCTTCTTTGGCAGTAACCTCCAGCAGGAAAACGGGTCCTGGTAAAGTAGTTCTGCTGCTCCTGCAGCAGTACGGACAGGACTGCAGTATATGGTAGCAGTGTCCTTTCACTAGTCCTTTTCACTAGGTTCTTCTTGTTGGAGGTGACAATTTTATAAGAAATAAAACACAATGTGCATTAGTTAACAGAAGATTAGTTTTGACTGAGAAGTACATTGCTGAAAAAGGATTGTCCACATAGTTCAGGAGAGATGCTCTATTTTCCATGCATGTGGATTTAACAAAATGAGTACTGCAAAATAAAAAGTTTGAAACATTTGTAAAAGAAAACAAAAAAAATTTGCTAATCAGATGAATTCAGAAATGCTTGTGCAGTTTTAGAATGCATCATGTATCAATTCAACATGAAAATGTATTGATTCAGTCTAGACAGTTAGCTGCAATTCCGATTTGTTTTCAGAATTGAAATCCATGCACTCCAAGGTAAAACTGAATCCTACAGTAATACAGCTCAGTGTCATTCTTGCAATTAATACAGCCACATTCTCCTCTGACAGCTTTAACCATCTGAAGTGAGCGCACACCTACTCAGTTGATTTTTTTAACTCTGACTTTTTCTGAACAGGATTGGTTTTTGGGGAAGTCATTGGTGTAGCAGCAGTTACAAACATTTAAAACAGTGATTCACATCCACCTCCTCCCCAAATTGCTATGAAAGCAGTTTTGTTTCTAATATATTAAAGACAGTATATTCAGTTTAAGGTGGTGTTGTAAAATAGCAGCAATGGACACAGGTGCTAATGCTCTAAATTTTGCAGCTTAAGAAACACAACACTGGGAAGAATCATCTTCCAAAAGCTGTGACACCTCTCAGCTGCTGATTTCTTCAATTAAACATGCTCCTTCTATCAAGAACAAGCTTTCTTGTTCTTTACACACCACAACAGAAACCTGCAGGACCTCTCAGCCAAGAACCTTTAACCAATTTCAAACCAAAATAAAACCCCAACTCTCAAATCCAAGCTGCACCCTTGAATTTCAACTTACCAAGTAAATATGAAAAAGCTGGTTTGTACTTTAAGGTAGAGACATGCTCCATCAGCTCTAAAAAACTGAATCACTCAAAAAAATAGCTGAAGAGCTAAGGATTTGAAAGTTGCCTATGTCCTCATTACTCATTTAAAGAGCAGCATTCCATCTAAAGGAAAGGGATAATTTTTGTCAGATTCTTATAAAAAAAAGGCTTTATTTTGAACAAGTTTTCTCCATTTGGTTTTACAGTCTTAACATACATCATATTCATGGACAAGCAGCATTTTCACAGAATAAGAGCCAAATACAAAGAAGAGGAAGCCACTTGGGATTAACAGTTTCAACCTAATTGACTCAGACTTCAGAAAATACTGTATGCTGTCACTTATTTGAGGTAAAGCAATTCCATAAATTAGGATCCAACTTTTTAACAAAGGAGTCAACAATGAAATATTTGTGGAGAAAGTAGGTACCTTGGGGAGGAAGGGGAAAAAAAAAAAATCAACTCTGAGACACTGAGCAACAATAGAAGGGGGGCAGGATTTCTGCTTGGTTTGTATCAGTAAACCAGTAGTTTGGATGATCACGTATAAGTGTTTAGCCAAATTTGTGCAGTTTAAATTTCAAGTTTGATGAATGTTACCGGTAGTATAGTGTTAAAGGTGAACCTAACTGAAGATATGCCATGAGCTAAGTTCATATGCGGAGTGCTCTCACTGGGTACTCATTACATGATCAGGTAATGATCAGTACACAAGTTTTTTCCTTCAAGTATCCAGTAAAATCCATTGTTTTCAGTGGCTATGTAATGCTTCCACATCCTTTCTACTTATATTTCCCTTTTAAAAAATAAAAATTAAAAAAAAATTGAGATTTATGATTTAGCATGTTATCTGGCTTCAAATTAAAAACGCACTAGTAAATTCTTTCCCCCCGGTGGAAATTTATACTTTATTATGTAGCTTCTAGGACCACTGATCAAAATTTACGCTTTCAATAAAAGCAGACATGAAGTTAAACTGCAAGTCAGCCATTGTACAAACTGTCTCTTAAGATGTTTCAGCAATATTTCAATTAGAGCTTTTAACTCCTTAAGAGGTACACTACCCACCATACATAGCTATTGTGCAATTCAAGACTCAAGACAGAAAGAAGTCTTGTCAGTGAGGAAACTGCCACCTACCCATTATCGCACTTCAGACTACGAAAAAGTGAGCAAAAGCAGAAAAAATAAAATTTTCCACTATCATCCAATTAGTTTGCTATGACCCCAGACGCTAACAAAATGCTTTTCATTAAATGACAGCTAAGAGAACATAGAGTGAAAAAAGAAAAATCAGTCTTGTATTTAGGACCTTGCATTTCCTTCAATGGATCCTATGTATCATGTTGCATGGAGCATGAGTGGTTTGGGTTGTTTTTTTAAAAAAAAAAAAAAAAAAAATCTCACCTGCGTATTATGAACAATTGCAATTAAAATATTTTTTCCACACTGCACTAGGCAACTTTATTTCCAGCCAAAGACAGGGAATTTAGTCAAGAAACATAAAAAATAAATTGAACTATGAACTCTGGCACAGCCAGGAGAAGCAACTCAACTACTCCAGGGTGCTTAGAAAATAGGCTTTAGATTTTACATCAAGAAATTGGGTTTATTGTAAATGCCACAGTCACATTGATAGACAGAGCACAGACTTCTGCTAACAAACAAACATACATTTTGTAACTAAGCGTTTCTACTTGGTAAATAAATGCATTTCGCACAGCCTTCCTTTTAAATGTGCCTAAACTAACCTAAATAAGCAGACAGCATAGCAGAAAAGGGAAACTTTTGTGAGTAACTGTTTCTTAAGCAGTATATTATTTTTACTATGTATATAATATTTTATATTATATACACACACATTTTCATCAACAGTTCAAATTATACCCAAATGAAAGAAAAAAAAAAAACCAAAACCAACCCCCAAACTGGCGCTCCTCCAATACATTTACCACCTTTTCCTCAGGCATAGTTAATCCAGGTATTTGTCAAGATAGAGGAATGACAGCTAAAAAGACTCCCCCCACAAGAAACAAGTTACACAAAGAATACTGTATCACTACAAATTTTTTATTCAGAAGCCCATCTTTAAAAAAAATCTCATTATGAACTTGTTTGGTCAAACTACAACACTTTCTAGCAGACATACAGTAAAAATGGCATGGCTCAGAATCGACCAGATCTCTCACGATCTCTTGACCGCCTCCTATCACGTTCACGTCCTCCTCCTCCACCACCACCACCTCCACGACCACGATCTCTGGATCTAGACCGACGTTCACGGGACCTTGACCTGGATCTATGCCTTCAAAAGAAAGTTTGAACATTTTACTGTTTGATCAAGTCCCGCAATTTACTTGCAGTACCACACAGTGGAACACTGAAGGATGTAAGTAATGAGGAAGAAGACAGACAATGCAACATTAGAAGGACTGGTAAATGGGCACTTGGGCTGCAAAAAAGTGTTATTTAAAAACTGAACAAACTTCATACCAAGGAGTCAACACACAATGTTAAAAGACTCAACTGTTTGCTGCCAGTCATCTGTTACAGTGGACATGCAAAATTTAGGGAAAGGCATGCAGAGCAACCAAATGCACTGTTACGCAGCTGTTAATTAAAGAAGCAAGACAAGGGGACACCTGCTTTTGCAGTTAAAAGAGTTCATAACAACACACAACAAAAGCCTACAGCTGTTTCTATGACCATTCCTATTAAACCAACTACGTTAATTAACAATTACAACTCAGTTCTCTTTCTTTAGTCAACTTTATAAAGTATCTGAAACAGGTTAGTTTTAAACAGGTGTGGAAATCACAGACCCAAAGCACTCAGGGAAACAAATGCTACACGTTTTAAGTTTACAGAATATTGCTCTATGGCAAGATGTTTTAGGGTGGGGAGCATGTGTGGGGACACATTTTACTCTGACAGAGGCACACAGATAACTCTTGCCTACCACTGAGCTGTCCAGAACTACTAAATTAACTTATTATTCAAAAGTTCTGGTTTACCTTTTTTTTCCAGTTGAAAAACTTTCGATGTATTTCATTCCGTGCAGAATTACTTTCGGGTCAGTCTACTTTATAAAATCCACCTGTGAGGCTCCACTGATACAAGAACTGATTTTTTTTTTTTTCTGTCAAGACTTACTGCTAACCTATGACAGCTTTAGCTGCACAAAGAATTTGAATAGGGCAAATAAAGACAAAACTGGATGGAAGATTCAGTTATTTTGCTTTACCACATACTGAAATTGGGCTACAGGTAAACCAACCATATTCCAAAACCAAATACACAAGCCTGATCTTTCTTGAAATAAAAGGCAATACCTTTCAATTACCATTACTAAGTCCAAGAGATTCAGATTGACATTCATCAAAGTAACCAAAAGGCTAATACGAGAGCATCTTTTCCGTAATTCAAACCTCTTAAAGGCTTACATTTAAATTAATTGGGACATTTTAAAGAAAGCATTTAGGCACAAATACTTGTGCCTAAGCAACACAATCTACAGTTTTGAGAGCTTAAATTCATACTCTGAAACTCTAAGACGCTGCCAATTAGACACATTTATATCAAAAACAGGTTCAAAATCTCAGGCTCCCTGACTCAAAGAAGCCTACAAAATTGTGCTCTCTACAAAAGGAAGTTCAACGTTTTTATACGTCTATCCTAAATAGCAAGGTCCTAAAAGCAAGCAGATTGAATCTGGCTCAGAGTGAACCACTCATAAGACAGGTACCGTAGTAACAGCAGTGGCATAAGCCTTTCTATAAGGTACCTCAATAACTAATTTAATATAAATATACAATACCATACATTTATTGTGGTCTTTTCTTGAGATTAAGCAAGGCAACTATTCCTTTGCCCTACTACAAAGTTCTATCATGGAGGGTCACACTGTGAGGCTAGCATAAATAAAAAATGAGCTCCATGTAGTGACTGCCTGTTACTAATACAAAAGAATAGCTACAGGCTACACAAGTTACTCATTAACCGTGAAAGACAGATAAGGCTGGGTCCTAACTATAATCTATAGATTATTACTACCCTGGTTGTGCATAAGGCTGAAAGCAGCCAATCCGATGCTGCCAAAAAGCCCAATAGCCAAGTAGCCTGCTTCTAACAGAGGCCACGAGCAAGTCCATTTAGAAGAGAATAATATAGAGAGAAGGCAAAACTTCTTCCAAATAATGCCTGCTTGTAAGTTCCAATCTGGAGATCTGAACCACAGGCAGGTCTTACCTATGTACTTCATAACTCAGTGAATGTTCTTCTCCCTGAACCCTATCACATCGACCTTCAGCACCCACAGCACCACAGGGCAAGAAGCACAACTTTGGTTTTCTTTCTTTTTTTTTTTCCTAAAGACCTATTTATTTTGTTCGCTCTAAATTGGCAACTTGCTAGCTTTACTTGGTGCCCTTTCATTTGCATCTGTCACAACTGTATTAGAAAACACAAGAGAGGACTTAAGTTTAAAGATCTGCCTTCAAAATTTTCAGAAAATGATCCTTAATTTACCTGTTTTAATGACGTGTAAAAGCAAACTTACTTTTTGCGACGACGCCCGTACAATTCACGTCTTAACTCTCGAGAAATGGGCTTCAAATGCATAAAGTTGCAGAAACCTCCTCGTGTACACTCTCTGAAACAGAATTCAAGAGATGCTGTTAAAATTCCCAGCTTTATACCACATCTGTTTGCCCTAAGCCCTGGCAGACCCTCTCAAACATTAGTCACCTCTGACATTAAAATCAGTAAATTGCACGTATCCATCTACTGATGCTGACTCCCTCCTTGATCCTAAAAAGACAGCAGAAATCAAGAGACTGACTGCAGGTCCTCCACATAATCCAAACTCACCTTCTTCCCCCACAAAGCTACTCACAAAAGCTACGCTCAAGCAACCACCACATCTGCACAAGTACTTCAAAGACTGTGCCCTGGACAGGTGGAGAAAAAGTCATTTTTTACCCCATTTCATATTGACGGCAACAGGCCTCTCTGAAGTCAGTCACAGGTGACAGCTCAGCATGAATGGGCTGCCCATTAAACCAGCGATTGTTCAGGTCAATCACAGCCTTTTCTGCATCTTCTTCACGGCGGAACTGAAAGCAAAATTAACATTTTCTCATGTTAGAGAGATGTAACAGAAGTAGACCAAAGACTCCTAGCAAATCAGCTGCGTGAAACCTGAGGCTTAGGACTAGTAACCAGCTAGAAGCTACTTCAGAGTTCTTCAGACAGTCCATCAAATCAAGGGTAAGAATTAATCAGGACTTGGAGCTAATCAAAACATCAATATTTTCTCTTAATTATTCTCTTAATTTTCTCTTCTCATATTTTCTCATCTTTCACATTTTGTAGCTTGTATTAAAGATACGATAGAATATACTGTGTTTTCTTAGCATAACTTTAAACAAAGCATGCTTAACTACTTTCTAGAACACTACGCTCTAAATGGATTTTTTCAAATATTTAAGAGAAATCTGTAAGAATTGAGAATTGTACTGCATGAAATGAGAACTGAAGCTCTCATTCATTTAAATGAGAAGTTACAAAAAAGATCCCATTTTGCAATGAATGTAAAGCTTAAATTTAAAATTCTTTTTAACAGCTAACTTGAAAATTTTTAGAAACAACTTTTACTTCTGATTATGACCTACACAGCTGAAAATTTTAAGCATGAGAATACTTTCCAGTTATGTGAATGCACAGCAAGTTTTCACACTTCCTCAACACTATGTGAACACAAAAAAATTTTGCAGGTGACAGCTTTTTAGTCTTTATTCAAGAGATACCACTGACTAAGCCTAAACCTAAGTTTAAGCCTAGAGCTAAACCTAAGTGCTCTAGTTTGCATCTTAAACCACTGAGCTACTGCCATATGTAGTAGCTTTGTTACAAAATGTTTTGTTTAACTGGGAAGTCAGAAAATAAATGCGCCTGTTTAAAATAAACACACCTGTTGCGAATAAACCTCTGCTCATAATGAAGTGCTTAAAAGGCAGTGTGATGGGAAGACAGACCCCAAATTAATCCTGGCAAACTAAACAGTCCAGCAGTGGCGACTGTGTTTATAACAATGTAAAGGAAAAAAAAAAAAAAAAAAAAAAGGTAAATC